AATTAAGCAAACAAGCAAAATTTCCCCAGGCAGAGGGGCCGGGGAGATGGCTCAGTGGAATAAGCGCTTTCCTGGCAAGTGCAAGGGCCTGAGTTAAATCCCTGGTTTTATAAGTTTTGAAAAAAAAAAAAAAAAAAAAAAAATTTCCCCAGGCAAATGACACAAACAAGAAGCAGGAAGTGGCCATGTGTCCAGACCTACATGGGATCTGGCCAGGTATATGAGGCTCCAGGCCCAAGAGGTGCCACATCTGCACACCTCCCTCACCACCTGCTCCTCTGACCTCTCTACCTCCACCTCTAGAACCATGGTCTGCTGTGGCTGTTCCGGGGGCTGTGGTTCCGGCTGTGGGGGCTGTGGCTCCAGCTGCTGCTGCAAGCCTGTGTGCTGCTGCAAGCCCGTGTGCTGCTGTATGCCAGCCTCTTCCTGCTCCAGCTGTGGCAAAGGGGACTGTGGGTCCTATGGATGCTCCAAGGGGGGCTGTGGGTCCTGTGGGGGCTGCAAATCCAGCTGCTGCCAGTCCAGCTGCTGTAAGCCCTGCTGCTGCCAGTTCAGCTGCTGTGCCCCTGTGTGCTGCCAGTGTAAGGTCTAAGGCTCTGTCCTCAGATCTCGGGTGAGTCTGGTGTGTCCATCCTCCCAAGGAAGTAACCAAAGCTTCAAGTCAGTTCCTGGCTCTCCAACATACCCAAGGGTCATGTCCCTAAGTTGGGAGGAGGCAATCATACCTTTGTAGTCCTTGACCTGTCCCGTGACCCTCTTTCCTATCACTCTGGGACCCACACCTTCCCTGCTCCGAGCCCTAGGAATCTCCTCTGCCACACCCTGTGCCAGTTCCAGCCCCTCAAGGGCAGGGCTCTCCCTGTCTATCTCTCCTCTTGCCCTTTCTTTCTGCTTGTTCTCTGCACATGGGGTCACATCTAGAGAAGCCCTAGGTGGAGCCCAGGCCCACTCTTCCTCTTAGAAGGTGGTCTCCCTTGCCAATTCTCTGCAGCAAAGGTCTCACAGGCCATGAAACCCTTTCAATAAATGCTACCCAACAAAAACAAAAACAAAAAACCTCTCATTGTGGTTCTTCTCTCGTAGCCTTGACTGATGAGCGGTCTATCCTTAGGTTACCTCTTCCCTGAGTACGTGCTTCTCACCATCCATGGCTCAGCCTTTGCTAAGCTCTAGGGAGGCAGCACTAAGAGGAACAGAAGTTCCTGCACTGGAGCTCGGGTGCAGACCGGGTGGGATTCTGGAAATCAGTCCTGGGGCAGGAAACATGGAGCACACGTCCTGGGACCCATGCCACACTCCGCTCTGGGCACGAGGCCTCAGTGTTGGCGGCCTGCAGGGGAGGCAATAGGTGCTCTCATCAACCAGGAGCCAAGACTTCACCCTGCCTCGCATCCTCAGGACCTGGAGGGGGAGGGTCGGGCAGGACTGTGTGCCACAGGCACAGGAGGCAGCCTTCTCTTTTGTCCTGCCTGCTGGGCCCTGCCCCTGGGCAGGAGCAGAGATCTGTGACGGCTGTGGAACAGGGTGCCTGAGCAGACACAGTGCCTTCCTCATGTAGATTTCACCCCAGCAGCTCCTTTTCGAGAAGCACAAGGAGATGTACAATCTGGAAACTCTCTGGCTGAAACACTTTCAGCTGTTGGGGAAAACGTCCATTTAAATACTTAACCAAGCTCCAAAAAGTAAGGAGAGTCATTATGAGACAAATGAGCTGGATGCTGGTGGTCAGCATGAGGTTCTGGGTCACAGCCCTGCCACCTCTGCTGCCATGAAGACCAGGGGTTGTGTCCTTCCTGCCACAGTGGCCACGTTGCATTGACAAAATACTACACAACAGTGGCAATGGCTGCACGTGGACTGGGAACCTCCAGGGACCAGCCCAGCACCAAGGAGGGCCAACTTCCACACCCCTAGCAAAAGGCACCACTCTCAGACTTGCTCTTCAATGTGTTGTCACCAGCCTCACAAGCATTCCTGGGCACTGTGTGCCTTGGCTGGACCTGCCCAGGGAATGTAGTGAGACTCACCCGGGCTGTTGCCCCTGACCCCAGCAGCACTGTGCATTGGGGAGTGAATACAGCACAAGGTTCTTGAAGATTTCAGAGCCAGGTGGGAGGGTGCAATGGGACAGCACTCCTCAGGCCTCAAAGAGAAGGATTAGTGGCAGGGGGCTCCTAAAGAGGCCACATTCTGAAAGAAAAGGCCTGAGGACCACCTTCCAGCTGTCAAAAGCAGATAAGCCAGGGAAGGTGTTTGAGGAAAGATGTTTCCTTGGGTCTGTGGAGGGTGATAAAAACACCATCCCCAGGGAGTGGCAGCGTCAGGGCCACCCTCACAGAGGCTTACGGCCCACATTTGCATTTCTTTTGTAGTCCGGAAAAGCTGTGAGTTAGAAAGTCAATGGCGCCTGGAGCAGCCTGGCCAGAACTAAGGAGAAATGCACATAAAAGAAGCAGGAGCTCTAATGAATGGGCTCTTGCAACAGAAGCAAAAAGCAACAAAAAGAAGCAGCCCTAAAAAAAAAAAAAAAAAAAGAAGAAGAAGCAGCCCTGAGGAGAGCTGGTAGGCACAGTCCACAAGCACAGAGGCCCAGGACCTGACACGTGACATCACAAGACACAGGGTCCCCGGTGCCAGGAGACCACAGCACCTCTCATCAGAGCCCCCTAGCCCCTTAGCTGGCTTCTAGGTAAACTCACGGGTAAGTAGATCCACCCTTTAAAATGGCTTTGGCATGGTAAACAGAAAGCACAGCATCTCTGGGGGCTCCACATGTGGGATCTATGAGACCACCCAGCACAAGGGGCTGCTAAGAGATTCTGCACAGTTAAGATGGCCTCGTTTCTCCTAGAGTGGTCATATGCAACACAGGCAGTGAGTATGTATTTGGCACCTGGGGAACAATCAATAAAAATACATTCTGAGGGGCCGGGGAGATGGCTTAGTAGACTAAGTGCTTCCCTGGCAAGCACAAGGGCCTGAGTTCAATCCCCCGGTTCTGCAAGAAAAACAAAAACAAGTCTATCATACACCTTTGGATCTGGAGAAAAAAAAATCACAGTGAAAGTGGCAATGTTTCAAAAATACTGATACAGAGTGAACATGTTAGGTTTGGTCCAGGCCTGCAGGTTTTTTTTTTTTTTGGTGGAACTGGGGACTGAACTCAGGCCCTTGCACTTGCCAGGCAAGTGCTTATTCTACTGAGCTATCTCCCTGGCCCCAAATAAAAGATTTTTAAAACATTTAAAAAAGAGAGAAAGGATCAGAACCTTTTACAAAACTCTAACAAGACTGATAAAACAGAGAAAAGAGAAAAAAAAAGGTGTGAATTATTAACATTAGGAACAAGAAAAGCAGCTCAGAACAGTGGCTCCCATCTGTAATCCCAGCACCCTGGGAGGCTGAGGCAGGAGGACCACAAATCCGAGCCCAGAGCTCAAATAGCACAGGCTATTTAGTGACTCAGGGAGACCTTGGTTCAAAATATTTATTTATTTATTTGCGGAAATGGGAATTGAACTCAGACCCTCGCGCTTGCCAAGGAAGGGCTTATTCCACTGAGCCATCTCTGGCCCCCTTGGTTCAAAATAAAAGTCCTTGGAATTAGGTTAGTATGAAGGTCTTGGGTTTAATCCCAAGTATCACAAAGGGAAAAAAGGGGGAAGCGCTTCAGGCCCTCGTGGATGGGATCGTAAGCTAGCTGAAAAGCATGTGCACAGCAAAGGAGGTGACCCTCAGGGAGAAGGCCTTTGCCAGCGACTCAGCTCCTGAGGGTAAATATTCAGAGCACACATGGGAGCTGCGGTGGCGGCGCAGGACCAGAGTCTCAGCACTGGGGAAGCTGCAGCAGGAGGATCGCCACAAAGGCCAGCCCAAAGCACACAGCAAGACCCCGCCTCAAAACAAAACAAAACAAAAAATGCCCAATATACGAGGAACTCAAAGAACATTAACCAAGACCCACAATAGTCCAATTTCAAAGTGAGCAAATGGTTTATTTATTTGTTTAGTTTTTGTATGTAGTATAGGGTCTCACTACATAGATCGGATTTGTAGTGATCCTCCTGTTTACAGCCTTTCAAGTGCTTGGATTACAGGCGCACGCCACCACGCCCAGGCTCAGTTGCCATCTCAGAGTGCCCCAAGGGTGGGGCCAGCACAGCAGGCCCGGGTATAGAACCGCAAAAAAAAAAAAAAGAGAGAGAGAGATAGAGAGAGAGACACCTACTCACCCGTGGTTACTGCTGTGCCATTCACAATCGCTAAGGGTTTTTTTTTTTTTTTTTTTTTGCGTAACCGGGGATTGAACTCAGGCCCTTGCGTTTGCCAGGGAAGCACTTATTCCACTGAGCCATCTCCCCGGTCCCACAGCTAAGATATGGAACCAGCCTGGGTGCCCGCTGGGGCATGAATGGATACAGCATGCACCCACAGTGGGATATTTTTCTGTGATAAAGGAGAGTGAAATCCTCCTCTTCGCGGGAAAATGGATGGAATGGAGGAAGGAAGTTAGGTGAAGGAAGCGAGATGTAGAAAGACAGACCCTGCACGCGCTCTCTCATATATGGAAGCTAAAATATGTTGACCTGCACGGAGAGCAGTCAATACCTGAGACGGGAGGGGTGGCCTGGGAACAGGGGCCATCTGCGATCTGTGCATGACGGAGGCACACTTGGAATGAGCCCATCATGTCCCACTCGTGTGTTCCATTAATACCTGTTAATGAAAAACAAAACAAAGGGATAATGACGCAGTACTGCAAATGTCTCTGCCCACACATACATTTTAAAACGAAGATGAATGGGATCAATTCTTTGGAAGACATGAACCCCCAAATTCAAGAAGAAACAGCCAGAGCAATCATTTGCCTATTAAAGAACTGGAACTTGTAATTAAAAGCCTTATGTAAGGAAATCCCCAGGTCTGGATGGCTTCACTGATGAAGTCAAGGAGTAATAAACCTGAAAGCAAGTGGGAAATAAATAGGCATGTGTGTGTCTCTGTAAAACCAGAAACCGATGCACAGAGAACAGCAAAACAATGGAGAAATTTTTTTTGTGGAACCAGGGGTTGAACTCAGGCCCTTGTGCTTGCCAGGCAAGCGCTTATCCTACTGAGCCACCTCCCTGGCCCCCTGGAGAATTTGATAAAACTAAAAATTAGTTCCTTGAAACAATCACTGAAATTGGCAAACTGCTAGCAGGACTGGTGATGAGAGAGAGCAGCTACTAATGCCTGGCATGTGGACTAGAGAAGGGATATCAAACCCTGTGGCCACTACAAGCATGTTAGGGGAACACTGTAAGCATCACAAGGGTAACACAATAGCACCATAAACAGGCATAAATCCGACAATCAAGGTGGAATGGAGGGGCCAGGGAGATAGCTCAGTAGAATAAGTGCTTGCCTGGCAAGTACAAGGGCCTGAGTTCAATCCCTGTTCCAAAAAAAAAAAAAGATGGAATGGGATAGGCTGGAGGTGTGGCTCAGTGGTAGAGTTCTTGCCTGAGGCCCTGGGTTCAATCCCCAAAATAAGTAAATAAATAAACAGGATGTAACTAGAGACCATACTCATGAGTGAAATAAATCAGAGTCACATGTGCAAACATCAGAAAGTCTCCTTCATGTAAGAACCTAAAAGAGTAAATGAAATTTGAAATGTACAATAAATATTAGGAAAGAACAGGCCTGGGAGGTGGCTCAGTGGAATAAGAGCTTCCCTGCCAAGCGCAAGGGCCTGAGTTCAATCCCCGGTTCCTGAAAAAAAAAAAAAAAACAAAAACAAAAACAAAAAACAAACCTTAAATAAATATTAGGAAAGAACAATTGGGGTGAGGGAAAGGAGGAAAGAAAGAGAGAAGGAAGAGAAAAATATAAAACACATAAAATAGTTAAAATAATTGTACTCCTAATTTATATTGGTTTGCTGAAAGAAACAATTGAGGCTTAACTTTTTTGGATCACTTTTATATGTTTATATCAGACAATCTGAACAACCACTTTGAAGACAATATATAATACAATGGTTGTTGAATTTCTCTTGTCTTGTTTTTTGAAATTAGCTCAGCGGATTAAAGTGCCTGCAAGCAGACGCAGGGGCTGGGGGTCCGATCCCTGGGCCTGCCCCCAGGGCACGCTGAGAAGGTGAT